AGCCAGGAAGGAGACAGTGCTCAGGCTCCCACGGGGGCTCACAGTGGTTTGGGGATCCAGAGCTTTTTTAGGGCTTCTGAGTCTTGTCCACCTCTGTTGTGCAAAGCTCAGCTCTGGGGCAGCCCTGCATCCCCCACAGAGCCTGGAGCCGACCCCTGTGTGCTGGGGGTGAGGAGACCCCTGGTGCAAGAGTCAGGCCCCGGGGACAAAACCATAACCCAGAAATTTGAGGAAGGACTGTGGGTATGATCACACGCTTGGCACAAACCAAGGCACCCAAGGGTGAAGAGAACGAGGTGCACGGTGTGAAGGCAGCTCCAAAATGTCCCTGCCCTGAAGGGGCTGTCAGAGAGGCTCAGAGACCACCAGAGGGTCAGTTGTGCAGCAGGGCAAGCCCTGAGCCCCAGAGAGCAGCCAGCAAAGGGATGGAACAGCTCACCCGTGACCACTGGCAGGCAAAGAGCCCTCATTCCAGCCCACCTCCTCCTCGGCTGTCCCAGCCCATGGCCCAAATCCGAGCTCTGAAGGGCCAGAGTCCAAGGGGCCACCCCTCCTAACCCACCTGCATGTGGGGACCTTGTGCTTTAGTGTTTGGGCAGACCTGCCCCCTGAACTGACAGTGTGGCTCAGAGCTTCCCAAACCTCACTGTGCCAGGGGGACGAGGTCCAGCCCAGAGCAGGAGGCAAGCTGGGGGCTCCAGGGCTACCCTTGTTTATGTTCAGTGCCTGGAACTGGACCTAGACTCAACTACGTTTTGGGAGTGGAAAGTCAAACATCACACACCAGAATCAGCTTCTCACAGACCACTCCCAGCCTGAGCAGGGGTTTTAACAGCACCAGGTTCCTGCTGCCATACAGCTGTAACAGGCTCTGGAAAATGGGGGCTAGGACCAGCCCATTCCAGCAATGTGCTTTGCACGGACATTTCCCAGACAAAGACTTCCCTGCATCCACAGAGAATATCCGTGAGAGCAGAGGCAGGAATATGGACTGAGCTGAACCTTCCAGAGGTTCCTTTCCATTCTTCCGAGGGCAAGATGGACCACTCCTAGGCTGCCAATCAACCCAATAACGAACAGCAACAGTGCCAGGCCTCAGTCCAAACATCCCACCAGCAATGGGAGCAAAATCTGTGTTGCAACTGGGCTGGGGAATCCCATTGCCAAAGCTGGCAGTACAGGGGAGCAGGAATCCCACTGCCAAAGGTGGGAGCTGGCAGTGCAG